ATACCATGAACTATGTTTTCATTTTATAGTTTTGTGCTTTTGTGCATCTGCTCACTGCCATGCTCGTTTTCCCAAAGCTTTTTTCTTTTTCAGCTCTGATTCTTTTTTCTTTTCCCTCTTTTCTGCCTCAAGTAGAATCCATCGCTTCTCCACCCTACTCCACTTTCCCCCAACATGTCGTGTACCTCTAGTTGCCCAGGTCTTGGAGGTGAATAGTTCTGGAGATTTACCTTTCTAGCAAGTTCTCCAAGTAATTTTGCTACCAATATTGTGGGAGACCTTTGCTTTTGTGGCTTAAGTAAGCTTGTCTGCCCCCTTTCGGTGGCTTTTTCAAGTTGTTGTATGCACTACCGTTTAGTATCTAGAATAGATCTGGGAAGATGGCAGAGCTAAACTGCGAGGATTTCCTGTAGCAACCCTGCCTTGATTAGGGCTATGAAACCCAAATTTTTTTTCTTTTTCTAAGTTTCAATGAACCTTTATTTTATTTATTTATATTCAGGGCTGAGAATCAAACCCAGTGCCTCACACATGCTAGGCAAGAGCTCTACCATTGCACTATGACCCCAGCCCTAACACCCAACTTTTGACCTCATTTCTGGCTCTAAATAGACTATCCTATCCTCAGACTGGAAGGGAATTATCAATATAAAAGTGTGGCACAGCTTCTGCAATTGTGGCTTACAGTCTTGGCTTACAATTCTTTTTTGGGGGAGATACCAGGGATTGAACTCAGGGCACTTGACCACTGAGCCACATTTCCAGCCCTATTGTATTTTATTTAGAGATAGGGTCTTACTGAGTTGCTCAGCACCCAACCGTTGCTAAGCTTGGCTTTGAACTTTTGTAATCCTCCTGCCCCAGCATCCTGAGCTGCTGGGATTACAGGCGTGAGCCACCGTGCCCAGCTGTGACTTAACAGTCTTGAACATACATATTAAGGAGAACCTGCAATAATTGCCTGTCCAGAGCCTCAATTGCAAAAAAGCAGATCCTGAACGCTGCCCCAAGAGTGATGTTGATCCCTCTGGTCTCCCCCTCCCTTGCCCCATGTTTCTTCCCTTCCTACCCCCATAAGTATAGAGGAGAGATCTCAAGACTAGCAAGCACTGTTCTAACTATGGAGCAGCTTTCCTAATGCAGACTTGGGCAGGGCTGAAGTCCACAAGGCACTTCAGATTTCCAGCAAGTTAGCCTAATTTCAGCAACTTGAAATGTTGAAATTTGCCTGTAAGCACTGAGACTTCCTGAAACCAAAACCTCTTGCACCAGGGATTTCTTAATATCAGGGCTTTAAGGTAAGTCTGGCTGTTTTATCTCAGCAGTCTTTTTTTTTTTTTTTTTAAAGGACATCTGTGGGCATTGTTGGTTTGTGCCTTACACCCATGAAAATCTATCCCCCACCCCTAGAAATAGGGCCAAAGAGGCAGTACTAAACCCTAACCCTTTTTCCTTCAGGGCAGAGGACTTATTTCTGTCCTCAAGCTCTCCAACTGATCTGATTTGGAACCTAAGATTCCACTGAGATTGTTTGGATTCTTAGTCCAGAAATACTTTTTGATTTGTCTTCTCACAGATTTATCACCTGTTTTCTGGTTTTATTTTAGAACATAGGGAAAAGACCAGAAGAATTTGGATGGATGGTGCTTGAAATTTTAGCCTCTACTGATAATTCACAAGAAGAAAAAAAAAATGTAAAAGGCAAACAATGTTAAGGATGTATCTGTTACATTCTTAAATGTTTTTGTTTTGTAATCCTCACAGAGACCCTCTCAAGTAGGATACTGGTGGAAACTCTGCTTTTACTTTTTTTCTTGAGGCACTTTGTTTATTAAGCGCATGTAAAAACAGTTTCTACCAAGAAAGCATTCTGATTTTTAGCCAGTTTAGGCACTATGGCTATGTAACACACTAAGCCTTGCACTTAAATGAGAGGTTGTCCTTCACAGCTGGCATTGTGGAAGAAATGCTTCCATTTCTCCAAGAGCTACTGAAATGCCTCTTTGAGGGTGGTTCTTGGTCAGTTCACAGTCTTATAGCTCAGCCTCATTGCTGAGGCAGGAGGCTAGGGATAACAAGATGTTGGAATATATCAAGATGTCAGCGGGGATCACAAAAACAGGTACCTGCTTAAATCACCATTACCATAAGAACTGCCCTGGCTCCATAGGACCACCCACATCACCATAGAAACAGCCATAGCAACAAGTTCTGTAGAGGGCTTATCACCATAACAAATCCTGCCTCAAGTTCTGTATTCCAATTAGGTGAAAATAAAATAGCCAACCAGAAAAATGGGGCAGGGTTTCTAGTCAGGTCTGTGGAAAGAGGATATAGGACAACTCACTCAGACACTGGGGACTTAGCTACTCTCTCTCAATCGGCCTGCTGCACTTTACAGAGTGTAATTTCACTTTCAATAAATCTATACTGTCTGCTACCTCCATGTGTCTCGTGAATTCTTTGTTTGTGATGCCTAACCCTGACATCATATTCAACCCTCCTCTGGTAACGATTGGCAAGCCAGCCAGGAGGTAAGATGTCATGCCCATTTATTCCTGTTGCTCACTTTATTTTCACCTAATTAGAATATAGGACTTGTCACAGGAGTCACTCTGGTGATGAATCCTTCACAGGACTTGTAGCAGGCAATCTCATGATAACATGGGTGATGCAAGCAAGTACATGGTTCTGTGGCCTGGCCAACATCAGGGTGTCCTAACACCACCTCCCTGACCCAGCTTTCTCTAGACTTTCTATCAGACTCTGAGAGTACCACTTTCAGATGGAGGAGCAATTGACCCTCTCCCTGGGGCATCCTCAGGGAAGATCAGAATGCACCTCCTGGGAACTCTTCAGCCTGTAAGGGTGGAGATACTGTGACTTTACTGGAACCTCTGGTATCAGCCTCTCTTGCTATGTGCCTACACTGGCTCCTCAGGATTCTTTGTGTGCATTTGTGCATGGATTTCCTTTTAATGTGTTTATGCCTCCTACAATTTTCTGTCTTATGCACTAGAACATGGGCCTAACCAGGAGAGCAATTACTGTCCCTTTTATTAATTAAATTTGACCAAAAAAAAAAAAAAAGTGGGAGCATGATTTGGATTGCTGGAATATGGCCACCCAGTCCCTGGCTGATAAAGTAGGCTGAGTGCTCCTTAGCCTCTTGAGTAGGAAGGCTGAATTTCATTGGACTCAAAAATACAAGGGGGCTGGGGTTATGGATCATTGGTAGAACATTTGTCTCACATGTGTGGGGCATTGGGTTCTATCCTCAGCACCACATAAATAAATAAAATAAAGGTATGGTGCCCATCTACAACTAAAAAGAAGGCTTTAAAAAAATAGTTACAAGGATGCCCAAAGTCAGGCACTACATCCAGGAGTCTTACAAATTATTGTTGGTCACCTCCCTTGGGGAAAAATTCTACCTCACCCCAAGGTTAAGAAAGCACCCCAGAGGGCTGGGGTTGTAGCTCAGTGGTAGAGTGCTTGCCTAACACTTGTGAAGCACTGGGTTTAATCCTCAACACCACATAAAAATAAATAAAGGTATTGAGTCCATATGCAGCTAAAAGAAAAAAAAAAAAAACACCCTAGAGAAAACAAACTGGGACTTACCCTCCTGGGCCTCTGTGCTGGTTTCTCATCCTTCACCCCAGCCCTAGGCTTCATGTGACTCCTTGTTTTTTGCAATCAATTCTTTGCTACTACGGCAATCTACAAAGGCATCTATCATCTCAGTGAGCAACTTAGGAGCCAAAAGGGACTCAAAGGATTAGAGAAAGAATATGCTCTAGGGAACATTCAACAATTTACTACTGTGCACTCTTAAGGGCTAAATATGTCTGGCCACCTAAGCCAGGATCCCCAGGGGATGCCGCAGGGATACCTAAATCAGAGATATCTCATTCCTCTGAGGGATGCTTTGGATGGAATCTAGTCCCAAGATCCTTAGGGTTTCCTCTTTCACAGATAACCATGGAAGGAAATACCTGTATAGCACATGAGTCCCCTTGTGGCAGTATTCTCAGCCTCTGGGACTCCTTCTACTTTGATAACCTGAAGAAATAAAAAGATGCCTCACCTTCTATTATAATACTATCTGGACCCAATATGAATTAGGAGACTCATAACAGTGGCCCATTAACAGTAGTCAAAACCATAATACTGGCTGGCTGCCTATGGACTGAGACTTATGAAACCATAAGCACCAAATAAAGTTTTCCTCCTCCCAAATTGTTCTTGTGAGATCTTTTGGTCACAGCAGGAAAAACAAAACAAAACAAACAAACACCCCACTGACTAAATCAGCTTTCAAAATACCTGAAGTAGTCACTTGTAAAGTGAAAAGGTTCATTTGGCTCAACAGTTTTGGAGGTTTCAGTCCATGATCACTTGGCCCTGTTGTTTGGCAGCATATGGTGGTAAAGCAAAATTGTTCTGCTCTGTCTGGAAAGCAAAAGAAGGAAGGGGCTGGGGTCCCACTATTCCTTTAAAAAATATGCCCCAAGTGACCTGACCTATATATCTCTCATTAGGTCTCACCTCATAAAGATTTCATTGCTTGCCAAAAGTAACACACTGGGCACAAAGCCTTTGTCATGAAATAATCATTCTAACTATTTACTCATGGAAGGACTTCTGTGTTGTTTTCAGTTTGGGCTATAAATGTATAAATAAATTTATACTCATGTACAGGTATAAAAAGTATTTATTTCTCTGGACTAAATGACAAGGAGTGCAATTCCAGGGACCCTTAAGATACAAATGAAAGTCGAAGGTAAAATGACATAGACACTCTGGAAAAGTGGCTTTGTTTGTTTCACAGTGCTGAGGATCAAACCCAGGGCCTCACATAAGTAAGCACTTTACCACTGAGCTAAATTCCTAGCCTGGGTCCTAGTCCTAGCCGGTATTCGAGAGCCGGCAGCGAGCGGGCCTCCTTGGCTGTGTGAAGTTGGCGAATCTGAGAAGACCCACTTCTTGTTTAATGGATGATGGCATTTGAGCAGTTACCAAAAAAGGATTGGTACAGCATTCTGGGAGCAGACCCATCTGCAGATGTGTCAGACCTAAAACAAAAGTATCAAAAGCTCATACTGATGTATCATCCAGATAAACAAAGTACAGATGTGCCAGCAGGAACAGTGGAGGAATGTATACAGAAGTTCATCGAAGTTGATCAGGCATGGAAAATTCTAGGGAATGAAGAGACAAAAAAAGAGTATGACCTGCAGCGGCATGATGATCATTCTTTTTTTCTGAGTTGCCGATGTGGTGGAAAATACAGTGTTTCCAAAGATGAAGCAGAAGAAGTTAACCTGATTTCTTGTGATACATGTTCACTAATTATAGAACTACTTCATTATAGCTAAAATTGTTGACTACTATTGGAATACTTCAACTGTATATTCAGACATGATGATGAGAGGCCATTCGAGCATTAAGGAAATGGATTTTTTTTCTTACCTATTATTTGCAAAGAAACGAGAAGATTATCAAGCAGAGATCACCTACATTTTAAAAGATTAATGTAGTTATTTATATGTACTTATAAACTATATTTACGTTGCCATAAAAAGGACTTGAGTTATATTTTATGGATTCCCATCTTAAAACCTTTGTTTTCTCCTTGATAAAACATAAGAATTATTTTTCTTAACATAAATATGTCTCTTATTGGGAAATATTATCATCATATTCCTTTATATTTATAAAGTGTCTAACTGATAATGTTCCCAACAGGTTACAGTTATAGGCCTATTTTATACCTACCTCAAATTCTAGTGTCATTATAATTAAATTAGAATCTCTGTGAACAATATGTTATCCCAGTTCTCCCATAATGAAGGCTGAATACGAAGAATAAAAAATGTGAAGTGACAACTAGAAAAATAGATTTGGAATTAAGACTTGGCTCCAGTCCTGGCCTTCTAGTTCTAAAATGTATGAACCTCACCGTCTTCAACTTTAAGTATAATTTAGAATATGGAAGCTTTAAAAAATAGTCTGAAATTGGTACATCCCTTTCCTTTTTATTTCAAGGTGTTAAGGTTTGGTGTTAATTGCCATATTTGTGAATAAGAACCATTTTATTGCTGGTATGATGGACTTTATAAAGTATTATTGCCTACAATAGCCTGTAAATGTCATATTCTTAAAGATGTATTTTTCTATACATTTAATATTCTTGTACAGTCTAAATCAGAACTCATTTAAAGAACTTGATAGAATCTCTTATGGGATCACCGAAACTTTTTTACTTAACTTCAAATGAGTGAGTCAAGCATATAACTTAGAAGCTTTTTACTTAGAATGAACTCCTGATGTTGCAGATTGAACTTAATAGTTACTATTCTGACTTACTTACTATAGCTGAAGTATAAGGCACTTTCAAGAAGAGTAGGTTATTTTCACTTTACTTATATAAGACAAAAAATTTGCAAGTGAGGTATAGTCATTCAGGTCCCCCTGCAAAAAATTTTATATATAACATAAAATCTAGATGAAACACTGATCTTGGGTTATACTTATTTTTACAGAAATATTTTGAACAAGAGTTTGCAGAATGGATTGCTTTTCTTTACATTTAACAAATAACTAAAACTGAACAGCAGATAGTTTATTGGTTAAGTACATGGTTTCAACTGCAGTAATAAATTCACTTGAACAGGAAACAATAATCAAGTCAAAAGAATAAATGCTTGCTAATTATCAGAAAATCTGTGGCCATTTGGGCTGTCTCGTAGAAATCCAAAATCACTCAGAGGCCAGATCTGTAAAACCAAAATGTGATTGAAGAAAATTAATAAAAGTGATGTTATATATAAAAAAATTAAAAAAAAATAAATTTCTAGCCTGGAAAATAGTTCTTACAAAAACTAAAAATGCAACTACCATATGCCCCTAGAATTGTACTTTTGGTCATTTATCCCAGAGAAATAAATACTGTGTTATATCACTACATTAATGTTAATGATAAATTTATTTCTAATAACCTCAGTTGAAAACAACACTGATGTCTTTCCATGAATAAAAGGTTAGAATGATGTATCTATATCATGGAGTACTACTCAACAATAAAAAGAACAAATTATTGATATATGCTACAAACTGGATGAATCTCCAGGGAATTATAAGAATGAAAAAAAAAGTAAATAAAACCAATCTCAAAGGTTTCATACTATATAATTCTATTTGTAACACCACTGAAATGACAAAAGTATAAAATACAGAACAGGTTAGTGATTTCCAGGAGTCGTGATGGAAGAGGGGTAGGAGAGAAGTGGGTTTAGTTGTTAACAGGAGGTAAGGGAACTGTTTTGCATCTTGACTGTATCAATGCCAATATCATAGTTGTAATAATGTAGTATAGTTTTGAAAAATGTTTACCACTGGGTGAAACTGGGAAAATTATCCAGGTGATTTTTATTTCTTTCAACTGCATGTGAATCTACAATTATCTCAAAATAAAAATAACAATTGAAAAAAAAATTTCATCTTTCTCATTTGGGGGTCTAGAAGCAAACAACTGATCAAATCTGCAAATTCTGCATTTCTGAATGCAAGCTATTTCCTTTTATGTCCGCTTGCTTGCAAAATGGCCAATACTTTCCTGAATTTATCTCTTTAGTAATGTCTTGGCAAACACAGCCACCACTCCTAACTACCAACCCCCCTACTTTTCTTCTTAACCTAGTGCCACATGATTTTCCCTCCTAAGTTACCACAACAGGTGGTTTTGCCAAGTGAAATGATAAACTTTAAAAATAATTACCTTTCTCCCATTGCCTCACCACCCCATGGTACATACTGTAGGTTTGTGTTGTAGCAGTTTCACACTTGCAGAGAAATTCCACATTAGGACAATCAATCCTAGCTGATGAAACACACAACTTTTAGAAACCTCAGTTTAACATAAAAAAGGTTTGTTTCTCCTTCTCCTTCTTTTCTTCTTTTTCATCCTCCTCCTCACCCCCATACTGGTGATGGGCCAAGGGGCTATCTACCACTGAGCTACATCCCCAATCCCTTTTATTTTTTGAGACAGAGTTTCTCTAAGTTGCCCACCCTGGCCTTGAATTTTCAATTCTTATTCTTCAGCCTCCTGAGTCACTGGGATTACAGGCATGTGTCACCAGACCTGGCTTCTTCTTTTGAAATGGGGTTTTGCTATATTTCCCAGGATGACCTACAACTCTGGGCTCAACTGATCTTCCTGTCTCAGTCTCCAAGGTTGCTGGAATTGGAGATGTGCACTTCCTCTTCCAACTACTTTCTTTCTTTCTCTTTGTTTTTGAACCCAGGGGCACTTAACCACTGAGCCACATTCCCAGCACCTCTCCCCCCCCCTTTTAATTCATTCTAATTAGTTATACATGACAGCAGAATGCATTTTGGTTTATTGTACACAAATGGAGCACAGATTTTCATTTCTCTGGTAGTACATGATATAGAGTTGCACCATATGTGCAGTCATATATGTACCTAGGGTAATGATGTCCGTCTCATTCCATCATCTTTCCTACCTCCATGTCTCCCCCTTTACCCTCCCCTTTGTCCAGTCAAATTTCCTCCCTTCTTCCCATGTCCCTCCCCACATTATGGATAAGTATCCACTTATCAGGAAGAACATTCATTTGGCCTTTGGTTTTTTGAGATTGGCTTACTTTGCTTAGCATGATATTCTCCAACTCCATCCATTTACCTGAAAATGCCATAATTTTATTCTCTTTTAAAGCTGAGTAACATTCCATTGAGTATATATATATATATATATAAAATCACAGTTTATTTATCCATTCACCTATTGAAGAGCATCTAGGTTGGTTCCACAGTTTAGCTATTGTGAATTGAACTGCTATAAACGTTGGTGTAGCTGCGTCAGTATAGTATGCTGATTTTTTTTTTTTTTTTTTTGTACCAGGGATTGAACTCAGGGGGGGCACTTGACCACTGAGCCACATCCCCAGTTCCATTTTGTATTTTATTTAGAGATGGTCTCACTGAGTTGCTTAAGACCTCTCTAAATTGCTAAAAGGCTGGGTTTGAATTCCCAATCCTCCTGACCCAGCCTCCTGAGTTGCTGGGATTACAGACATGTGCCACCATGCCTGGCTTTTTTTGTTTTTATCCAGGGTCTCACTAAATTACTTAGGGCCTCGCCAAGTTGCTGAGGCTGACCTCGAACTTGAGAATCTTCTGCCTTGGCCTCCTGAGCTGCTAGGATTATAGACATGAGCCACTTTGCCTAGTTCTTCTAGCAACTTTCGCTTCTTATTTACACAAAAGCCTGTATAGTTGCACAAATCAGTTCCATCTTGAAGCCTCACCATCTGGATTCCTTTCCACAGCCCCAAAATTAGTGCAATAGGGAATAGAGAAGGTCACAACTCTTACTTACTACTTCAGCCTGAAAGTTACACATCTTGCTTTTCTTCTGGAACTGCTGGTAAGAACTAGCTGTATGATCTCACAACCTAACCTGGATTGAGGCTAGGATGTTTAGTGAGCACCAATAATCTCTATTACACCTGGGTATCCTGGTTCCCTCTGTAGATACAAATACTAATATGCTTATTTTTACTCCTTTCTTTTAAAAAATATTTATTTATTTATTTTAATTGTAATTGGACACAATACCTTTATTTATTTATTTTTATGTGGTGCTGAGGATCGAACCAAGGACCTCGCACATACTAGGCAAGAACTCTACCGCTGAGCCACAACCCCAGCCCCTCCTTTCTTTTTTTTTTTTAATATATATATTTTTTAGTTGTAGGTGAACACAATACCTTTATTTTGTTTTTATGTGGTGCTGAGGATCAAACCCAGTACATCATGTGTGCCAGGCAAGTGCTCTACCCCAGAGTCACAACCCCAGCCCCTTTATTACTCCTTTCTTATATAAAAGGTAGGATATTATATGCACTGTTCTGCACCTTGCTTTTTTCACTAACCTATATCTAAAAGAACTTCCTCCTTGGGGCTGGGGATGTGGCTCAAGTGGTGGTGCATCGCCTGGCATGCGTGCGGCCCAGGTTCGATCCTCAGCACCACGTACAAACAAAGATGTTGTGTCTGCCGAAAAACTAAAAATAAATAATATTTAAAAAAAAAAAAAAGAACTTCCTCCTCCTCCCTCTTTCTTTTTCTTGTTTCTAGCTCTCTCTTTTCACAGTTACACAATATCACATAGTGGGGATATTCTGTTGTTTAGCCAATTCCTTCTCTCTCTCTCTCTTTTTTTTTTTGGTACCAGGGATTGAACCCAAGGGCGGTCAACCACCACTGAGCCTCATCCCCAGCCCTTTATATATTTTTTTTAATATTTATTTCTTTTTAGTTGTAGTTGGACAAAATATCTTTATTTTGTTTACTTATTTTTATGTGGTGCTGAGAATCGAACCCAGGGCCTTGCACATGCTAGGGCAAGTACTCTACCACTGAACCACAACCCCAGCCCCTATATATATATTTTTAATTTTTTAGTTGTAGTTGGACACAACACCTTTATTCATTTATTTATTTATTTTGATGTGGTGCTGAGGATCGAACCTAGAGTCTCGGATATGCTAGGCAAGCGCTCTACCGCTGAGCCACAACCTCAGCCCCCTTTTTATATTTTTATTTAGAGACAGGGTCTTGCTAAACTGCTTAGGGCCTTGCTAAATTGCTAAGGCTTGCTTTGAACTTGTGATCCTCCTGCCTTAGCCTTCCCAGCCACTGGGATTACAGGCATGAACCACAACCCCTGGCTCCCCAATTCCTTCTTTATAAAATTTATGACTTCCAATTCTTTCTAATACAAAGAATGTTTAGATAGGGCAAAGGGGAGGGAGGGGAAGGGAGGGGGCATGGGATAGGAAAGACAGTGGAATGAGATGGACATCATTACCCCAAGTACATATATGAAGACACGAATGGTGTGACTCTACTTTGTATACAACCAGAGACATGAAAAATTGTGCTCTTGGAGCTGGGGTTGTGGTTCAGTGGTAGAGCGCTTGCCTAGTACGGGAGAGGTGCTAGGTTTGATCCTCAGCACCACATAAAAATAAATGAATAAAATAAGGGTATGTGTCCAACTAAAAAATAAATATTAAAAAAAAGAAAAATTGTGCTCTATATTTGTACCATGAATTGAAATGCATTCTTCTGTCATATATAACAAATTAGAATAAAAAAATTTAAAAACATAACAAAACAAATAATGTTGCAATAGATAATCTTTTTGAATAAATTCTTAGAAATGTGTATACCAGGTGAAAGGATAAATTATTAGTAATTTTACATTTTAAAATTACCAAATTATATATAATATATATAATCTCCATATAGATTATATTATCTTTTTTTCCCACCAAAGATGTGTGTGCCTCTTTCCTCATCATCTTATTTGTATTTGCCAACTTGACAGAAGATCAAAATATTTCAGTATAGTTTAACTTTATCTTAGAATAAGAAAAATTAAATGTTTTAAACTTTCCCCCCCCCCCCCCCAGTACTGGGGATTTAACCTTGTGGTGCTCTACAATAGAGTTATATCTCCAGCCCTTTCTATTTTTCATTTTGAGACAGGGTTTCCCTAAACTGGCCTTGAACTTGAGATCCTCCTGCCTTAGCCTCCCAAGTAGCTGGAATTACAGGCCCAAACAACCAGGCCTAGCCTCTCAATATTTTTAAAGGGTTGTTTTTATTTTTTTCTGCAAGCTTCCTATTAATGTCCTTTGCCTGTTAGAGAATTGTTATCAGTCCAATTTTAGCATCTGTGCTATTAAACAAATTTTGAAAAATTTTAAGTAGGCTTCTCCACAGACATGCTAATCAGAAGTGCCCACCACCCCCCCCCCCCCAAAAAAAAAAAATATATAAATATATCCTTTCTTTTCTTGTAAGGGTAAAAGAAATTGAAGTTAAAGCGTAAAAGTTAAAGGGTAAAAGACCGGGTGTTGTAAAAGTTTCTAAGCTGCAAGGTCTGAGTTAAATTTCTGTAGCTGTTAAGACAATGCTTAGGACCGCCCAGTAAACATTTCCCCTGATTGTCTGGTTGTTTAATAACTGAAGGGGTCTGTGTGGTTGCACGCAGGCCTTGCAGGGCCTGAACCAATCAGTTTGAATGTAACCCCCTCCTTAGGAATGACCTATCACTCCAGCCTGACCTGTTCCCGCCAATGAATGAACTAATCATGTTTAGGAGTTGTTGTTCAATTTTCCCGCGCCTCATGATGATTTGTTCTGATGTATACAAAGCCCTCCACCCTCCCCAAAAAGTGTACTTAAGCAGTGCTCAGCCCCTGCTCAGGGCTCTGGGCTGCTTTCCCTTCTTGAGTGGGCACGGAGCCCCAGCATGCTGGTTCAATAAATCCCCCTTTTGCCAATTGCATGAGTGGTCACTTGGTGGTCTCTTTCTCCGACGTTTCGCGGGACCCTTACATTCCCTCTTTTAATCAGTACTTGGTATTGAACCCAGGGGCACTTTATCCCTGAACTACATTTTCCAGCCCTTTTATTTTATTGGTAGTGGGGATTAAACTCAGAGGCGCTTTACCATTAAGCTATATCCCCAACCATTTTTATTAATATTTTTTGTTTTAATTTTCCTTTCTTATTTAATATTTAATAATTTATTAATTTTTTTTGTACCAGGGATTAAACCCATGTGCATTAAACCACTGAGCCACATCTGCAACCCTTTTAATTTTTTATTTTGAGACAGGACCAAGTTAAATTGCTAAGGCTGACTTTGAACTTGTGATCCTCCTGCCTCAGCCTCCCAAACCACTCTACTGGGATTACAGGCGTGTGCCACCAGGCCTGACTTTGTTTTTATACAAGGTCTCAGTAAGTAATTTAGGGATTCACCAAATTGCTGACCTTGAATTTGCAATCTTACAGCCTCAGCCTCTGGAGTTGCTGAGATTACAGGCATAAAAGGTCAAACCCTTTTATTTTCTTCTCTGAGACAGGATCTAGCTAAATTGCCTAGGCTGGTCTCCAATTGGGATCCTCCAGCCTTTGGCCTCCTGAATAGCTGGGATTATAGGTGTGAGCCACCTTACCTGTTGCTAAATATTTAGAATGATCAATTTGTTTTGACAATGTAGGTTAATGATAGATTCCTAAATGGGTGGCTTTTAGAAATATAAATTACTACAGCCTGTAATCCCAAAAAGGTTCTCGGCATGTAGTTTGGTGTTGGAGGGCCCTTGAATTTAATCCCTAATACTACATAAAAGACGAAAAAAAATTTAACAGCAGTTTGAGGTTATATTACTACAAAGTTAAGGAGCTACAACATGTTGTGTATTAAAATAGTGATGTAAGCATTAACTAATATAGAATTTAATGTTAATTTTGGAGTAATGATATAACTGTTTTAAGTTTAAAAAATAATAATTAGACCCTGGATTTAAGAGTTTTATAACATGAAGCAGAGGCAGCAGTTCATTATCAGGAATAATGAATTAGAGAAACTAGGAACAGATTAAAATCAAACACTGCAAATCAGCGAAGGAGTATGGTGTGGCCTTTATTAAAAGAAAATTGACCATTCTGAGCTTGCCTATAAACCCAAGTTTTGTCAAGTTTGTTCATTTTAGGAAACCAAAACAGCCTGTATTACTTATAAGCTTTCTAATTAAATTTTAAACTATATCGAAATTAAAAACTGGCTACCTTTGCCCAGCGCAGTGGTGCACACCTGTAATCCTAGCAGCTCAGGAGTTGAGGCAGGATTATGAGTTCAAAATCAGCCTCAGTAATTTAGGGAGGCCCTAAGCAATTTAGCAGACCCTGTCTCTAAATAAAATACAAAAAAGAGCCGGGGAGGTGGCTCAGAGGTTAAAAGCTCCTAGGTTCAATCCCTGGTACCAAAAAAAAAAAAACCCCAAAAACCCTGGCGATCTGGGAAGGGAATAATGCTTCATAACTCAGGCGGCTGAACCAAATAAACCCATCACAAATCCTAAACTGCAAAACAACAATAGAAATGGAGAATAAGGTTCAGGCCCAGCGCGGGAAGAGGAGCCGGGCGGGGTCAGGCGCAGAGGGGTGGAGCTATCCACAGAGCCGAGGAGGACCTTGCCCCAGAGCCTTTCGCTCCTCCCCGTGACGCCACAGGCAGGCCCCGCCCCCAGATGCCCAGGACTCCCCGGTACCACTGCTGTTTGCTTGCGCCCCGGAAGCTGCCCCTTCTCGGGGGTCATGATGGGCAGCAAAATGGCGTCTGCCAGCAGGGTCGTTCAGGTAAAGAGACTCGGTAGTTTTTTATCACGTTGGGTAGAGAGATGGTGCAGATGTGGCAATGGCGCGAGGGAGGAAAGGCGGTGGCACAGGATGCGTGCTGACCGCGGCCCTGAATAGGGGCATGGCTGCGCCAGGGGTGTATGAGAATGGGAGCTTAAGCCCATTGCGTCGGGCAGTTAAGCCAGGGTCCGGAGCTGAGGGTTCGAGCCCGGCAGTGGGAAAGCGACATCTCCGCAGATAGGTACGTACTGGTCTGGGGTCCCTGGACTCCTCCGCCAGGTCCTCCCTAGCCTTAGTTTGCGGGCTACGCTGCCCTCTAGTAGCCTGGCCAATCGCTGTCTAGTATTGTCTGTACTGTCCCCAGTGGGCCAATCCGGAGTAAGGCGATAGCGGAGCGTTAAAGGAAGCGACCGCCGGATCTGACCCAGTGTCCCTTCAAGGTCTTGGGAATGTCGGGATAACTGGTTCCTACAGCCTTGACCTCGCCAGAGGCCGGTTCAGCCCACCTTCTTCAGGCATCTGTCTACAGGCTGAATGGGGAAATAGAAAAATATTTTCCTTAACTTTATTACTAGAATATGTTTTAGTGTTATTTCCCAAACCTTTTTTCCCTGTTTAGATAGGCAGCTGAAGTAACATTGTTAATCCACCTATGACCTACTAACTCTTGACACCTTTTCCTTTGCTTCTCCATCTTAAATAGGAGAGGTAAATTTGGTATATAAATAGGCACGACCTTTTGTAAATTGGGTTATGTGGTCTTTTTTCCAACCCTAGAAGCATGTTATAGTGATTAGCTTTTGTCTTTGATATGAGAGGTGCATTTCCCTTTACATTAATTAGTACGTCTCTTAAAAGACCTTTTCCTGAAGTTCCAGAAGTTGTCTGAAAGATAATTCTAGATTCCAGTCTTTGGTTCCATTGCAATAAATGATGCTCACTTATTTATTCAGTGGGTGGTTACTGAGCATTAACTAATTAAGGATTCTCTAAAGACAGAAACCTGACAAAGGACTACATAACCATAATATCAATAATAAATATGTAACCCAATTTAAAATGGGTCAGGGAGTTGATGCTGCATAATAAAACAGTAAATAAGCAATAAACATGAAAGGTGCTCAGTAATCCATACTTGCCAGCAAAATACAAATTAAAACTAGGAGGTACTGTACATCCACCAAAGTGGCTTAAATTTATTTTTTCATTGCTTGGGATTGAACTCAGGACCTCATGTATGCTAAGCACTTGCTCTTGTCTCTCAACTACACCCATAGCCCTTGCAACTAAAATTTAAAAGACTGACAATACCAAATGGTGATGTGAACAGGAAGTACTGAAACCCTCATACATTGCTGGTGGATGTGTGAAATGGTACAGCCACTATGGAGAACTGCCAGTCTTTAAAAAACATTTCTCTATGACTCAGCAAGTATACTTATAGGTTTATTACCCAAAATAAGTGAATGCATATACCTACAAAAAGACTTGTATGGGCTGCAGCTGTATCTCAGTGATAGAGCACTTGCTTAGCATGTTTCAGGCCCTGGTTTCAATCCCCAGTACTGTAAACAGAAAACAAGAAAACACAAAATGCTGATAGAAAGTTAATAGCAGGGCTGGGGTTATAGCTCAGTGGAAGAGCACTTGCCTAGCATGCATGAGGCACTGGGTTCGATTCTCATCACCACATATAAATAAGTAAATAAAATAAAGGCCCATCAACAACTAATACAATTTTTTAATTTTTTAAAAATTTTTTAGTTTTCGGCAGACACAACATCTCTGTTTGTATGTGGTGCTGAGGATCGAACCTGGGCCGCACGCATGCCAGGGGAGCGTGCCACCGCTTGAGCCACATCCCCAGCCCAATAAAAATATTTTTAAGAAGTTAATGGCAGGTTTATTTATATTAGGTCCCAAATCAGAAACAAGGATCACATGATATGACAGAAAACTTTACATGTGTTAATGTGCTTTCTGTCATTCATTATAACTTCAGTTAGGAATTTCAGTCCATGATCAATTGGGATAGTGGTAACATCTTGTATATGTGTAATATAATATCAAAACCAGGAAACTGATATCAGTACAGTTCACATAGCTTATTTAATCATATTTATATGGATTCATTTGGGCTCTTGAGTAGAGTTCTATGCAATTTTGGTTTTGTTTTTTTACATTAAGATATTAGGGTTTTTTTTGTTTGTTTGTTTGTTTTGTTTTTAAGACTGTTTAAAGAGAGAGAGAATTTTTTAGTTTTCGGCGAACACAACATCTTTGTTTGTATGTGGTGCTGAGGATCGAACCGGGCCGCACACATGCCAGGCGAGCGCACTACCGCTTGAGCCACATCCCCAGCCCCTGCATTAAGATATTAGATCCATTTTATTTATTTTTCTCATTCAAATAAAACATTTATTTTGAAGGACTAGTTGTACTTATTGGGGGAAAATCATCTGTAATGGCTAGAGATAGCCAGAGACTTGAGCTTCATTCCATAGGAGATAGCAACACTAGAGAAAATAGTCATATGAGAGGTTTTTTAAATCAGTTTGTGGAATAGGGAAAGCTGTTTAGAGAGGAGTGATGTTTGAGCTGTCTTAAGGGATTATAGTGGTCGTAATGATAGACATGGAAGTGGAATGGGGAAGAGAATTCCTGGGAAAGGATGTAAGCTTCAGATGAAATGGGCATGGAAATAGCATGATAAATTAGGGAAATGAGAAGTACTTGAGAATATATGGAAGGACAAGTACATTAGATAGTGGCTGGGAATAAAACTGAGGTAAGGAGAGGCTAGTTTCTGATAGGCCTTGTGAGTGCTAAGAGTTTGAACTTTTGGGCTGGGATTGTGGCTCAGTGGTGGAATGCTCGCTTGCCTAGCATGTATGAGGCACTGGGTTCAATCCTCAGCACCACATAAAAATGAAATAAAGATATTGTGTGCACCTACAACTACAAAATTAATATTTACAGAAAATAAATAAATAGAGGTATTGTGTCCATGTACAACTAAAAATATTTTTTAAAAAAGTATGAGCTTTATCGTGAAAATTGTGAAACATTTTTCAAACTTAAACTAGAGGAGTGACAGTAAATAGAATATTTTAAGAATCTTAGCTATTCAAGGAGAAAAATTGTTAGAGAAGCATTTTAACAATGCAGATAAACATGCTTTTAGTCTAAGGAAGAAAACACATTCCAGCATTTTCTGAGCAGTAGAATTATGGTGGTGACTTTTCAGGCTGGCCCTAACACTTTATTTACTTCTGTACCCATATAAAAATTATAATATATACAAATATATTGCAGATAAACATACTTCAGTCTCAGTTACATAACAATTTGCATATTACATTAGTTGAAAAAAATAGTACTCTGTTCATTAGATTTTTTAGCACTGTATATTCAGGAGGTTTCCTATGGATAGGCTCATTTGAGGTCCTCTATAACACTATCTGTAATTTTAGGTATGAAAATACCAGTTAGAAAAACATTATTCTAAAAATAAGTATTTTGATAGGTAAAGAAAAAAGACAAAGCTATCAAATATTTTAATCTGTTGTATATGGATTTGGAGGTTATAGACAGTATTTTCTCCTTTGTGCTTTTCTTCATTTTTCCCAAAATTAAAAAAAAAAATTTTGGGAGGGGTATTGGGGTGGGGATTCATCCTCAGCCCTATTTTGTATTTTAGAGACAGGGTCTCACTGAGTTGCTTAGTGCCTTGCTTTTGCTGAGGCTGGCTTTGAACTCGCGAACCTCCTGTCTCAGCCAAAATTTTTATACAGATTATATGTTACTTTGGTAGTCAGAACAGGTGTTTTTAAAATGACCTAGTTTTCAATACAGTTGCTTTCTATACTATTTTAAACTGTTACATATTAACATAGTAGAGAAACCACACTCCATACAGATTAGGAAACTTCCAATTCTTTTCTTACCAATCTATAAGTCACAGAACACAAAATCCATGCCATCCTCTTCATTGGGTGGTTTTGAGGTCAGTTGTTAGTACATTAAAAAATCTTGTACTGGACACAGTGGCACACGCCTGTAATCCCAGCAATTTTGGGAGGCTGAGGAAGGAGGATTTCAAGTTCCAAACCAGCCTCAGCAATTTAGCAAGATCCTAAACTACTTAGTGAGATCCTGTCTCAAAGTACAAAATAAAAAGGAATTGGATGGAGGGTTGGGGCTGTAGTTCAGTGGTAGAGCACTTGCCTAACGTGTGAGGCACTGGATTAGATCCTTAGCATCACATGAAAATAAAAAAATAAAGACGTTCTGTCCATCTACAACTACAAAAAAAAAAAAAGAATAGGGATGTAGTATAGTGATAAAGTACACATGGGTTCAGTCCCCAGTACCAAAAAAGGAAAAAAACCCCACAAAAACCTGTGATGGTTAGGTATCCTAGTGACACGCCTGTAATTCCAGCTACTCTAGAAGCTGAGGCAGGAGGATCACAAATTTGACACCAGCTTGGGCAATTTAGCTGGACCCTGTCTCAAAATAAAGTTGAGCTGGGCATGGTGGTTCACGCCTGTAATCCCAGCAGCTCAGGAGGCTGAGGCAGGAAGAGCACAAGTTCAATGCCAGCCTCTGCAACTTAGTGAGGCCTGAAGCAACTCAATGAGTACTTGTCTCTAAATAAAATACAAAAAAGGGCTGGGGATGTGGCTCAGTGGTTAAGCCTGGGTTCAATCCTTAATGCAAAAAAAAACAAGTAAAAAAGGCTGGAATGTAGCTCAGCGGTACAGTGGTAGAGGGCTTGCCTTGCTATGCAGACGCCCTGAGTTTAATCCCTAGTACAGAAAAAAGAATGTATAAACTACAAAGTTATGAATAACTGATACATTAATAATTCATAGATCAGTTTCCTTGGTTGGGGAAAAATACAATTTAAAGATGGTGTCAAGTAGTAATTTATTTTAACAAACGTATCTATTAGGATTAGTATAGATCATTGCTTTTACAGTTAATGAGGTTATTTTTTGTCATGCATTTTATTTTTCCTTTAGGTAGTCAAGCCACATACTCCATTAATAAGATTTCCTGACAGAAGAGACAATCCTAAACTCAGTGGTAAGTGATATTCTATTTAGATTAAAAAAAAAGTATGCATATTTAGAAATGATATTCTATTATAAGCAATATTTCTTCTTTTTTTTTTTTTTTTGGCACCAGTGTGCTTAACCACTGAGCAACATCGCCAGCCAATTTTTTTATATCTTATTTATTTTTTTGGTATTAGGGATTAAACTCGGGTACTTAACCACTGAGCAACATCCCCAGCCCTGTTTTGTATTTTATTTAGAGATAGGGTCTCACTGAGTTGCTTAGGGCCTTATTGTTGAGGCTGGCTTAGAATTTGTAATCCTCCTGCCCCAGCCTCCCTAGTTGCTGGAATAATAGGCATGTGCCACCTTGCCCGACTTACTTTTATTTTTTATTTTCAGACAGGGTCCCATTAAGTTATTAAGGGTCTCAGTAAATTGCTGAGGCTGGCCTCAAACTTGTGATCCAACTGTCTGTATCCTTCCAAGTCCTTGGGATTACAGGTGTGTTCCACTGCACCTTCTTCCATCTTTTGGGAAGATTCGACTCTGCTTTTATTTATAGAGATTATGAGGAATAGTAACCATTCTTACATTTATCTCCCAGCTAACCAGCTTTTCTTTCATTTACTCCTTTACCTATTCATTCAGTCAGTAACTGTTTCTTGGATTGCCTGAACCCTTAGCAGTTACTGACTATAATATAACGACCTTATAAATTAGAGAAGATTCTGAAATTCTTCCCTTTTTTTTGGGTGGTGCAGGGGATTGAACCTAGGGCCTTAATGCATGTGAGGCAAGCACTCTACCAATTGAGCTAGAGTGCCTTCTGTTTTTTATTTTACTAAATCCTGTGTGTCTCTCTTGATACTTGATCTTTAATTCCAGAAGAATTTCAACAGTTATCATAGGGATTTAAAATTTTATTTTAACTATTGAAAAATTAAGATGTTGAAAAAAGTATTCTCATTTACTAACTTTGTTATTCCCCATTATAAGACATTACCTGTAAACTTCACCGTGTGTGGCCTTTAAGAGGTTACAAGACAAAAACTTAAATAATGTAAGTCACCCACAATGGTTGAACACCTCTAACAAGAAATTTTATTGTTTTACAAATTTTATGTTCATTTTAGTAATTCACTTGCTTAAAACTACCTGCTTTCTAGGTAAAATGATGCATGCCACCACCTTGGAGGCTCTAGCCAGAGAATGAGCTCAGTAGTTTGAGGACAGCCTGTTTAGTAATGTAGTGAGACCCCTACACAAAAATTAAAAATAAATAAATAAATAAAATAAAAAAGGGCTGGGACTGTAGCCAATCTCCAAGTTGTACGTAGCATGTACAACTCCCTGGGTTCCATCTCCAGCACTGAAAACAAAAACTACCTCTTTATATCTTTTGAAAAGAATGTTGATTTTAAGAATGAATTGATCATTCAATAGAAGATAACTCAAAATAATATATTGCAACACCTGGATAATTTCTCTAATTAGGTTCTGTGTCTTTCAGTAACAGAAACTTTGAGATCAGCGGGGCTGCCATCTCACTCACCTGTAATTTCACAACATTCTAAGGGGACTAAATCACCAGATTTGCTGATGCATCACGGTCCACCAGACACTGCAGAAATAATAAAAACATTACCTCAGAAATACAGAAGGAAACCTGTATCTCAAGAAGAAATGGAATTTATCCAAGTACGTTGTTGCTCTATCATAAGGCTGTGCAAAACACCATTAACATATCAGCTTTGGAATTTCATTTTGATTTCTGTGCTCTTCCCATTGTCTTGCCAAGGATGTCATAGCTAAGACAGATGGGGATGTAGGCCAGACTGTAAAAACAAACCATCATTGGAGCCCTCAAGAAATCTGCAGGTTATGTTACTGATAAAAACCACATGAATAAAAGCTTCTTGGTGTCCTCAAAAATTCTTCAGAGAAGAGCCTCTTAGACAAGAAATGTGGGGACAATTGAAGTAGGTCAACCTTGAGGCCCTTCTAGATCTGAAATCATAACAATGAATATAAGGGTGTAGAGTTATGAAAAACCTGAAATTTGCTTAAAATTTGTATAAGTTAGTTTGAATAGTAGCCATGAAAACATTTCCTGTGTCAATTTAACATCTAACCTAACCTTATTGCTTTATGTTTTCCTTTTCAGCGTGGAGGTCCAGAATAATCATTGTGGCTGCTGTTTGTCATCAGACAAAAGAATTATCTTTACAGTAAAGGACTTCCAAGACAAATGAAAAACTATATTAATCTTAATAAATATTCTGCAAAAAAATGAAGTACAGAAAATTTAAATGAATACTTTTAATTCCTAATTTATATATCTTGGTAGGCTTCTCTACAAGCTTACCTAATTGTTTATATACATTATACTTATTAAAGTATACATTTTGAAATGTTAGCCTATTAATTTACTCTTGATTATCAAGTATTACCAGTAATGAACTATTAAAAACACACAGTGTCTAGTAAACTACTACAGGTTTTCCATGATTTTACTTTTATTTCTGTTTCTATTTAGATATGGAAAGAATTCATCAGGCAGAATTACTGCTTTAGGGAAGTGATTTTCCTGAAATGAGAATCAGTGAAATAATGTCTTCATTACATAGTCTTAATTCTTGAACTTCACCTTTTTTTTTTTTTTATTCACAGGATTACTGGAGTATAAGTGGCTAATAAGCATATCCTACTCTAAATGATAAAAATGTAGCCAAGGGCTAGAGATATAGCTCAGTTGGTAGAGTGCTTGCCTCAAATGCACAAGGATCTGGGTTCAATCCCCAGCACGGGGGGGGGGGCGGGGGAATATATATACATATGTATATGTATATATGTGTATATATATATATATATATATATATATCTCCCCAAGATAGCTGGGTACAGTGATGTACACATGTAATCCCAGCAGCTCAGAGGGCTGAGGCAGGAAGATCGAGAGTTCAAAGTCAACCTCAGCAATTTAGCAATTTAAGCAATTCAGTGAGACCTTGTCTTTAAATAAAACACAATAAAGGGTTTTGGGATGTGGCTCAAGTGGTTAAGTGCCCCTGGGTTCAATCCCCAGTACCAAAAAAAAAAAAAATGTAGCCAAGATAAAACTGGGATTAAGACTAGGGAGATTAGTGAGGCCCTAAATAATTTAGTGAAACCCTATCTCAAAATTAAAAAGGGGGGATGGGGTAGCTTGGAATGTAATTCAGTGGTAAAGCACCCTTGTCTCTAGTACCAAAGGCAAAAGAAAAAATAGCCCCCAAAACAGATTAGGGAGATAATGCACAAGATTAATTATAACATTCAGACAAAAAAAATCACAGAGTATAAGATGGAAAATAAGAGATAAAGATGAAAATAGCATAGGAATAAATATTTCACTAGAAATTGAAATTTATTATGTTTGGTGAGATAGTAAGAAAGTCTTGATCTTTAATTTCCTGTTTTGGTTGTGATCGTGTGTGTAAATTCTGATAACCATTAACTTTTTCCAAACTAATGTCTGAAAGCCTCATAAAATTAACCCAAATATTTACCTTATCAAGGCAACCTATGAAGCTTTCATAAGGTCTTCCTATGTCAAGGGTATGTATATTATGAAAGTAAAGCCTCCCAGAGCTAAATAAATCCCTTCCATACTTGTAATGATTTCAAGAATGCTTTAAAGAAGTCATCCTTAATAGTAAGGTTGGCTCATGAGCAAGACAGTGGGATTATTGTTGAGTATATTTCTATTATTTGCCCAACTACTGTGGGTTAACCTTTACTTTCTGTGTTTCTCTTGTAAATTCTGTACTGTGGCCTAGTATAAGTGTTGCCCAACACAAATAATAGACAAGAGATTTGGGTTTGATGTTAGCAATAAGCTATTCTGTTAATTTGTGAAAAATACATGATTTACCATTATTTTGATTTGAAGATTATTTTGGGAACGATTTAAGTATTAGCACCCCTCTCTGCCTTAACTTTCTGATTTCAGTAAAAGAAAGTCTTTGGCCATTTATTTTGCCTTCAGAAACAGTGGATTCAGGTAATGAAGAGTAGTTTGGGTTACTTCTGTGGGTCAATTAGGGCCAAATACTGCAACTGGGGTGTATATGTGAAGTCAGTATTCACTATAGCTGTTGCCATTCAAGCCAAAGGAAAAAATAGCGCTTTTATAGGATTTATGAGTACAGATATTACATAAATGGCATGTCAGTGGGTATTGCTGCTACAAGATGCACTCCCAAGAAGGACATTGTTATAGAAAGAATTCTAACTAGTCTTAAAGTTAAATAGCCTGTATTTTCACATAGAGTTTAAGTACTTAAATGTATGTAACCATCAGCAAATTGCTTAATTTGTCCAAGTATCAGCTTTCCTCTCCAGTACTATGCAATGTGATAGGTAAGATCAAATTAATTAGCAATCGAGTTATAATCAATCACCTCAAAAGTTAAGTGGCTAAAAACAATAATAATTAATAATTCATGGTTTTTCTTGGTCAGGAATTGAGAAGCAGCTTCCCTGGGCAGTTCTGACTTTTCCATGAGGCTTCCATCAGATATTATCTGGGGCTGCAGTAATTTGAAAGTCTGGCTGGAGCTTGATCACCTCTAAGGTGGCTTACTCATGGCAAGCAAATTGATGCTGGCTGTTGGTAGGAGACCTCAGTTCCTTTTCACATAGGCCTCTCCAAAGAACTGCCTGAAAAAATTTAATGATGTGACTGTCCTTCCCCAGAGCAAATGAATTAAGTACGCAAGTGAGAAGCAGTAATGCCTTTTATGATCTCGTCTCAGAAATCATACCCCACATTCTGCCATATTCAATTAATCACTCAGAACAGCTTGTTTAATTGTGGGAGAAGTACATTAATGCCAGAAGGCAGGGTTGGGGCTGTGGCTCAGAAGTAGAGTGCTCGCCTATCATGCATGAGGCACTGGGTTCGATCCCCAGCACCACATACAGATATGTGTCCACCTATGTCTAAAAAAATAAATATTTTTAAAAAATGCCAGAAGGCAAAGATCATTATGGCCTTGAAATCTGGCTAAATCACATGTATAGAAGTACTTTTTAAAAATACTAATTTTAAAAAATATTTTTAGTTGTAGATGGGCACAATACCTTTATTTTTATATATTTTTAAAATTTTTATGTGGTGCTGAGGATCGAACCCAGCACCTCACACCGGCTAGGCAAGCGCTGTATCATTAAGCCTCAATCTCAGCCTCTTTTATTTTATTAATTTGTTTTTATATGGTGCTGAGGATCAAACCCAGTGCCTCACAAATGATAGGCGAGTGCTCTACTACTGAGCTACAACCCCAGCCTATAGAAGTACTTTGTAAACTAAAATGCTATGCAGATATTTAATGGTTTTATATACACAACCTTATTTCTGAAGAATATCGTTTAACTGCTTTAGTTACCTTATTCGAAAATGTTCTAAGCTAGTCATTTAGTGTTTCAATGTGTGCTTAGCATGTGTGAGGCCCTTGGTTTTATTTATTTTTATTTTTTTGATACCAGGGATTTAACCTAGGGGTACTTAAACACTGAGCCACAGCCACAGACCATTTTTTTTTTCAGACAGGGTCTTGCTAAGTTACAGAGACTAACCTCAAACTTGCAATCCTCCTGCCTCAGCCTCCCAAGTCATTGGGATTACAGACATGTGCCACCATGCCCATCAAAGCCTTGCATTTTATAAATAAATAAGTCTGAAGATATCAGCCAGTAAATGGATGGAACTGAATACTATCATGGTAATTGAAATAAGTCAATCTCAAAAAAACAAAGTCTGAATGTTTTCTCTGATATGGGGAAGCTAATCCAAAATAGGAAGAGGGATTAAAAAAAAGAAGAAAGATCAATGGAGTAGATGAAGGGAAATAAAAGGGAGGAGGACAAATGGGATAGGGAAAGAACAGTGGAATGAATCTGACCTAACTTTCCTATGTACATTTATGAATATACCATAGTGAATCTCACCATCATGTATATCCACAAGATACTAATTTAAAAAAAGTCTACAAATAAGAAAGATCAGTGGTAAAGTGAAAGGAACAGGGGGGTGAAGAGGGGAGGTTAAGGGGAAGTACTGGGGAATGAATTAGAACAAATTATATTCCATGCTTTTATAATTATGTCACAATGAACCCTAATGTTATGTATAAGTAAAAAACCAATAAAATAAAAATTAAAAAATAATAAAAGGGCTTAGTGATAATGTGCCCCTGGGTTTAATCTCTAGTACCTATGCTGCCTCCTGCACAAAAAAAAAAAAAAAAAAAAAAAAAGTGGTAAAGATGGTGTGTTTCTGTAATGTATGAGACCCAAGTAGTGAGTAGTGACAAAGGGCTGAAAGATAATAATAGTAATGGTGAACATAAACCGGCTTTACAAATGTGAAGTCATTTAAGTCTTGCAGTAATCCTGTTACAGAGGAGGAAACTAGCTTCAGATTAAGTTCAGATAATAATTTGCTTAAGTCATCTAGTGTCTGAATACCGGTGGGTTAGTATTCAAAATCAGGCAGTCTGGTTCAAGAGCAAAAACTGAAATATGCTACACTAAATTTGTCTAGATTACTGGCCTTAGAATTCTGCCATCTTCAACATATCTTTGAAAATTAGGATTCTCAACTCTTAGAAACATCTAATGTAAAGAAAAGGGATATTTGGGCTGGGGACATAGCTCAGTTGGTAGAGTACTTGCCTCCAATGCACAAGGCTCTGGGTTCAACCCCCAGCACCACACATAAACTAAAAAGAAAAAAAAAAAAAGAGGAAAAGGGGTAACATTTCCATGTTGACAGCTGTTTCAGCTCAGACTATTGGAATCTGCCACCCCGCCTTCCTAACCATATCTAGCTTGTCAGCAAATCCCTATTGCCTGGAAGCTAAACTGGTACTACCCTATAGGAGAGCCCTCTGGATTACAGCAATAATTCACCAGCAGTCTTTCTTGCCCCTCTAAATCTAGAGGTGTAGTCTCCAGAAACAGCCAGAATCAAACTTTGTTTTGTGGTACTGGGGATTGAACCCCAGCCGTTCAAGATTGTTTATTTATTTAGTAACTATTTATGACAGAGTCTCGATAAATTGCAAGACGCTAGCCTCGAATTTGAGATCTCTCTGCTTCGGTCTCTCCGAGTAGCTGGGATTACAGGCTTGCGCCACCATTCCAAAACATAGTCTGATTACATCACTTGGCTGCCCAATTCCTCCAGTGCCTTTTCAATAAGGTCCTTATACCACCCTATTTAAAACTGCAACGCCCCCATCACTCTCCCCATTCTCTCTTATATTTATAGCACTTATCATTGTGCATTATAATACTCGACTTTTTTTTTTTTTTTTAATCTCCTCCCTTTAGAAGATGGGGATTTTTGTTTTGTTACCTGCTGATTACAATTAACTACCCCCCCCCCCCGCCCCCGGGGGCGGGTACTACGGATTGAAATCAGGGAACTCGACCACTGAGCCACATC